CATCTTTGATGTTGGCATGTATATAGCAGTTAATTATCCTAATTTTAGTGTATCCTTTTAAAAATAAGTCGACATAATCCTGGAGGTGGTGGGGCACTACCCAATCCTATTTAAAAAATTTTAAATATCGGATCTGGTATTACGAATTAAATTTAAATAAACAAATATTATAAAATACCTGGTGGTGGTGGAATATTCTGTTGCTGCCATGGTGGCAAGGCACTAGTTCCAGCATGTACATTAGGTGCAGTTATTGATGGTTTTGGAGCCCATGGTGGCGCAGTAGCAGACCCTACAATTGAATGAGATTGCCATGGAGGCTTAGAACCACCAGATGGACCGTAATGTCCCTATAATTTTTAAAGATGTTAAATCGATTAGAATTATTAAATTTGAATTAAACCAATCCATATTAATATAAAATATACCACTTTAGCGCCAGGTTCATTAATCCTCGATGTTTCAACATTTTCTCCCAATTCAGCCATTAAGCTCATATATTCACTATCCAACTTTTGGTCTCTCTGTTTAGCTTGCAGCAAAGCTTCAGGGTTATTTCTTTCCATACAGTCTCTGGGAGTGTGACCATGACCTCCGCAAATTCGACAAGTCAAATTAATAGTGAAATTCTGAGTTTCTGAGCATTCATACTTGCGATGGCCAGTGGCACCACAATTGGTACAAATTTGATTTTCATCATCTCGAAGTGTACCGTTAAGGGCTGCTAATTCACGTAATTGTTGTCGTTTAAGTTCATTTTGACCTTCAGGAACCGAAGCCGACTGTGTAATGTTATTAATAATTGATTAGAATTATGTATGAAATTATCAATAAACATAGGATATGAACATATTTACCGTTTCAATAATCTTATTGATCATTTTAACTGCTTTAGCGACCTTTTCTTCAGCATCAGCTGTTACTAAACAATGTAAGTCTTCTTCTTGATTTGCATTAGCAGCAGCATCTGTTCTACTCTTTCCTTCTTTTACGCTTCCTCTGCCACGAATACTAATTTTTGCTCCCGATTCAGACTCCATTTTTTTGAGAGTATTACCACGCGGCCCAATTAATAACCCAATAAAATTAATTTCAGGAAATTCTTTAGCGGGAATATACACTTTATCTTGAACTTTAGTAGGTTTTTTGTAATCGGCTGGAGGTTTAAATTCGGGATTCCTTCGTACAGCTTCCTCGATTAATTTATGCCTCTCATCTTCCAATTTCTTGCGATATCGATACTCTCGTGTATTAACACGTTTACCCTGAGAATCGTAAACCGGTTCGGGAGATGCTGATCTTAATTGACCAAAAAAAAAAAATTTTATTTTTTATAAATATGTATGTTGTAAGTAATTTAAATTCTTTTAATACGTAAAGTTTGATAGTATAAATTACCTTTCTCTTTCTGGTGGAACATAATCCCCTAATCTTAATTTACGACCAATTTCCTCTAACCTCATGTGTACTACGAGAAATAAGATAATGAATGGTCGATTAACATGATCAATAATTATAATTATTATTACTGTAAAAGAAGACTTACATAAATACGTATCCAATTGTTCTTTTGACATATTGTAGGTAATAGCAGTCGGAACACCTATATCAACTTTTGATTCTTCTCCGCTCCACCTGCTTCTTCTTTTGCGCCTACGTCCCTCAGCAGTTCCATCTGAAATATTCCAGTTAGTTGAAGAAACGGTGTGGCACGATTTAAAGAGTTCAGATTTCATAGGAAAAAAAAATTAAGTGAATAGCAAATAACGAAACGCAATTTTGCACATTGTTAGTATATGAATTTTGGTTAGAACAAAAATAATCTGTTAAGTTTTATTAATTGCCCTGTCAATCATTGGGTTGAATTGCAATTATTATTAATAAATAGCAAAGTTTTATTCAATGAAGCAAAATAAAAGCAAAGCAGTAAGCAAAAAAGTAGTTACTCGCTAAGAATTATAAGCACACGATATAAATATATAGTGTTGAAATTATATATGGTTCAAAAACAAAAGGGAACAAAAAGTCCTAGATGATCTGGTCTAATTTATACCTGTTTGTTGATCATGTTCTTCGTTTGCTCTCTTGAGCGAATGTCCAACATTTGACTCCACTTTGATTTCTTTCTCCTCGACTTCTTCGTTAGAGCCTCCTAACCTTCTTTTTCCTAATGGAATGTTATTTGTGCCAGTGATTGAAGGTTTATACATTACGAAAGCATCAAAAGTTCCTTTACAAACGCAAAGATTGATCTTAAAAGTCAACGTGAACAAAAAAAAAAAGGTATTAATCTGGATATTTATAGCCGATCACCTTTTTTATTCAGATTTTAAAATCAACCAATCAAACCATTTTTTATAATAACCCTGTTTAATTTTGATCAGATCAGATCAAATTTGAAATATAGCGTTTGTGAAAAATATAAATAAAATTTTTGATATTCAAAGAAAGTTTAAAAACTCAATCCATGTAATTATGAATAATTTATACATATATATAATTCTTAGATTGTATAGCAGGCAAATTTGCCTGCAAACTTAAAAAAAAGTATTAATTTCTTAGTAATATAGTTTAATATATACAGTATTTTATCAACTTTATTAGATGGCTTCTAACAAAGAAAATATATTAGCCAAACTTTAGAATTGGATTAGAGAGATATCTTCACTGTTTTCTAAGAAACAAACAAATGTACCATTCATCTATCACCTTAAAAAAATGTACAAGAAATTATTTGTGTTTTTAAGACTAATTTTTCAGAATTATAGATCAAGAAATATGATAAATCTAATCCTATAAAAAAGGTTTGCAATTTTAATAATGTTGAAGAAGTATAGAGAGATGCAGATCTAATTATATATATTAATATTCTAAAGATAAGAGTATATTATATTAATTTTAAGTTTAAATAAACATTCTGTATTTTTAATAGTTATATAAAAACAAATACTAAAATGAACTAATGTTATTTCACATATGATACATTAATTTTTTTTTTAAAGTTTCAGTATCTGACACTAGGAAATCATATTACAATAGTACTATTGAGGTATAAACCTTAACTCATCTTAGGATTCTTAAAGTCATAACTAGACTCAAGGTCTAATAGAACCTGTTCGTAAATACTAATCTAAGGTATGTTATCTAAGTCGACACCCTCAAGAGTTAACTCTTCAGAATTCTAGAATCTTAGAACTACTGTCAATTTGAATAGAGAGATCACTTTCAATCACAGGTACTTACGTCACTTATTTTCCTGTGCTTACCAACATTATTTCTGGATCACTATTACCTCTACCCAGTATCAGATATTTTACATATTATTAGAAAGGCTTAGATGTTATTATTTTATAGAATCTCAGAAGGTAGGTGGCTGTCATACCTATATCATCAAATTCATCTGGAAATTGAACTCGGTCTCTACCCCTAATAACAGCTCGATTAGATGATACTGCAGCAGTGCAATGCAGTCTATTATCACTATAGCCACCTGAAGGTAATATCCAATCTACTAATTACTGATTAACCACTTCCTTACTTATATAAGGGTCTCTAAATTTAAAGATGTAAGACAATATCCATTACAGACCTATCAGCGAAAGCCAAGTTTTTATTGATCCCTAATTCATTTACATCCACTTGTTCTTTAAAACCTAGTATTTAAGCATGATCAATATCGATCGACAGATCAATCAACCAGTTTCTAACGCTTATTAATATATACATTCACATATTCAGTTACATATAAAATTTATAAAAAAATCATCTAGTTTTATGCTTTAGCTAAGACCTGAACCTGTGATTATTGCAGTATTACCTATAATAGAAGTTTAGTTATTACCAACTGAACTAAGGATGCTGATCCCTTTACATATAATACATTAAGAATTATATATATTGTATTGAGCAAAGATCATCTAATACTCTTATTACAGAAAAAGAATTATTTTGATAGTTGTTGGAATGTCAAGCATAAATATCTTCTAAAATTTTAGAATAAAAGAATATTCTAATCATAGATTTTGTTATCTAAAATAAGGATATACTTATTATTTGATTGTGAATAGCTTATATATTAGAAAAGTCTATTTCTAATGCTTATTTAGTTAGAAAATAGTTAATTTTTTCTGAAAAATAAGTATGATAATTTCTATTATAAAAATTATTTTTAAGTTTGATAAAAATATTATATCATTATCTTAAATTATAAAAACTAATTTCTTAATTATTAAAATAAGAAATTAATAGATATTTTCAATGTTATTATTATCAATTATAAAATTATCAAATTTTTAGAAAATAAATTAAAGACATTAGAAAAAATATGCTCTTTAGATCAATATCATATTTTAGATTATTATAAAATTTTGCTTAAATCATTAACTGAAAACTTCATTTTAAAATATGAAAATTATAATCATATGAAATAGTTTAAAGTTTATAAGCAATTATAAGATACTGATATTAACAATCGAATAACCATTGAAGCTATCACTTATAAAGTTTATAGAAAAGATAGATTTATAACTATTACTGAGTTAAGAGATATTAAATTTATTTAAAATTACTAAGAAATTGTATTTTTACTAAAAATATTGATAATAGAATTAGATATAAAGCTGATGATATTAAAAATATTTGAATTCTCCTAAATTATTATCATATTTTCAGAATTTAGTTTCCAAAATGAAATAAGTTTCTGATAATATAGATACATTATAAAATCAGAATTAAAAACTATTTGAATGCAATTTAATTTATTAAATTTAACACTACATACAACATATAGGTTAAAATTTAAGGTTATAGATAAGAATAAAAAATATTATAAGCTAGTTGAAAATTTTGATAATAAAGAGATTTTTATGTTATCTTTATATCAAATCAGAGAAGAAATTTATTAGATAACTATAAAAAATAATCAGTAAAGCTATAGCAGATTTTAACTGATGAATTATTAATATTACTAGAAAATAGTTCATCAATGACTGTAATGATTTTTAGTATATTCATTGATTTTGAATAAGTTACATTTAAATGCCACTGAAAATCAATTGAATTTGAGCCTCAATTTCTATGTTTTTTAGAATCCTTATTCTTTTTTGGTTGATATTGAGCTGCTTTAATACATTCATATGTACACTTACATATAAAATTATAATCATCAAATTTGACTCTTTTTTTTTCAGTATTCAAACCCTTTTTGTTCACAATATCGCATTATGAAATTATTTACTTCAAATGATTCAAATGTTTGACCTTTTTGAAGAGATAAATCATCCTCTTCACTTTCTGTAAAATTGTCAGTTTCATTGAGATTATTTGGACTATTTCTTTCAAAAAGTGCAGCAGGATTTGGAAAAGACATATAATTGTTAAAATATTGAGTAAATTCAGAATTCATATAACAAATAATAAATCAATGACAATGGAAAAAAGAGAAAAAAGTTTTGTGATTTATCAAATGATAAAGCTTATTAAATAGCGTCATAGCAGGTCAGGTGAATCTAACTTCGGTGATCAAATGTTAACATCCTAAAATTGATGACGTAGACGCAGGTGATATAATACGGAGGTTAAAATTTTACTTATAATAACCTGGAGTTAGAATTAGCTTTATTATTAATTTATAAATTAAATTTTATTTATTAAAATGTTTAGATAATAAATTTTTAAAGTTTTAAAAAGTTTAAAAAATTATATTAATAATATAAAAGTTATTAATTAAATAATATTAATTGTTTTTAATTGAATAATCCAAATAGCCATCGAGAAAAGAAAAATCAATGAAAAAAATTTCCTTTAATGCAATCTACTAAATAGACTGATCTGATTTATTCTTTATTACTGTAAAGTATCCTTTTAAAAATTGCAAGAAATAATATATGCCTGAAATTCTTATTATAGTAATTTTTATTATAATTTATTCAACAATATTGTATCTATATATTATATTTCAATGAGATATTGATACACATCTAATCCTTTGTAATAACAGTTCAATATTATAATGTATAAAGAAACGAATCGTAAATATTAGAAATCAAGTTAAATATTCAAAATAATCTAAAAAGGATTAACGATAAAGTTAAATAAAAATTAATAGTTGGTTGAAATTATAAGCATTTAAACTTACCATGAACCCGTCTATGAACAACATTTACAATTCGCCATGAAACTAATTTTGGCTATTCAAAACGAGAAAAAGAACCATATAATAATATAGTTACTCTTCCTTGCGCAACCTTCCTTTCTTGGTAGGGGGTTCATAGAATGAACAATCATAAAATGTAGAACGTCCTTGAAAATTCAATTCACTTGATCCATTATATCGTCTTTTTAAACTATCATTTCCAGCAAAGATACCAATTCCTCCTTCTTGGCCCGTATCAATGCAATCAATCTCGCGCTGAACAGGGTTATACATAACGTGTTCTGGAAGAGAAAAATTAAACGCTTCATAGGTATTTTCAAAAACGGCAACTGCAGATGGAATGTTAGAGGTTGGACATATTTGAACATTGGAAGTTTGAAAGGTCGAAGTTTGCTCAGGCAAAAATTGTTGATGATGATGGTGTTGCGATTGTTGTGTCTGTAAACGAGCATTCATTCCTTCATCACGACATCTTCGAGATACGGATTTTAATTGCTCTGTTTTAGAATTAATGAAAATGCACAAATCTTGTACTGATATGAACGCGTCTCGTCCATCTCCGGTTGTTTGTCTTTGAACGCTAGGATGAGAAGAAATGAAACCCATTAAATCTTGTAGACATTGTCCATATCCGGCATCATGATATTTTGTTTTTTGATTCAAAGAGGTTTTGTAGAGTTGTGTAACAGACTCAGCAGCTACACGAAAGGACGCCATTAACGCAGCTTCAGGTGATTCTTCAGGTCGTCCTCCATTGTCGGGTGACTGACCAGACTGTTCCATACTGTTGTTTTTTACAACTTGCTACGCTTTGAACAAGAAACAGGATGGTAAATAAATTATAAATATGAATAAGTACAGTAAAAAAAACAAAAACTTTTTTTACACTTTTAACGCGATTTAAGCTCTGTAATTTAAAATCGGGGACAGAATTGACAAAAAATACCAATATTTATAATTTTGTCGGTATTATTGTACTAAAGCACGTGATTTGATCAGGTATAACTTTCTTATTATGGTAAAAAAATCAATGATCTGGTAATTTACCGTTTTCAGTTTTTTTTTTTAGATTAAATCTTTGTATATTATTCATAAATAAATTAATAATATGGATTTTAAAACTTCAAAAAATCATATTTTAACACATTTTATATGCAATTATTGGTATTAAAATAAATATATAAAGTTTTAATAAAACTTATTTTAAATATTGAATAAATAGATAAAAAAGATATTACCTTTTAGAATTTGTTTAGAAATATAATTAAAATTATTTTTTATATTTTAAAAATCATAATTTAGTTTATTTTAATAAAAAAAAAAAGTTAATTAAAACAAATTTTATTATAATTAAAAGTTTTTCTTAAGATAATATAGGATTTTACATAGAAAAAAAAGGAAACTGCTAGAAAACAAATCAATTTACTTTTTATATGTCAAATATGATTTTTAGGTTTTTTTTTATAATTGTTTTCTCTTATCTATTGCAAAGATCTCATATTATTATTTAAAAAATGATATAATTAAATTGCAATTAAATTTATAATTAAATTATTATTTAAATATTTAAAATTAATTAAAAAGATAATTTTAATTTTTTTAATTTAATTTATTTCTTTATATTCATATAATTTGCAATTAAATTTATAATTAAATTATTATTTAAATATTTAAAATTAATTAAAAAGATAATTTTTAATTTTTTTAATTTAATTTATTTCTTTATATTCATATAATTTATAATTATATAATTATATAGTTTTAATTTTAATATTTATAGTAAAAGAAAAAATTATAAAAAATTTTTTAATTATACAAAAATATATAAATTCAGATTATATAATATATATAAACTTAGCATATATTTTTATATATTAGATTAATAACACAATATATAGTAATATGTATTTATATGTAATTTTACATGTGATATAATGTTTATTTTATAGTATGTAAAATTATATTTATCATATCTTATTTGTATATTACCAATCTAGCACATAAAAAAGGAATGCATAAACTTATTATAAAAGTTAATATAAGGTTATATAATATTTTTAATTATAAACCTTAATTTTACTCTAATATAAACTTTAATATTTTTTTATTAAATAATTTTCTAACTTTTTAACTAATTTTTATTACATTAATAATTATATAAATTAGCTAATATTAATAATATTAGATAAAACTAAAATATTTAATCATATAATAAAACTGAAACTATTTAGTATTTAATAATTAAAGTGCCAAAATGTCAAAACTTTATTTTCATAGATTTTTATGAATATTTTATAAATTTTTTATAGATATTAACTTACAATTTTTAACATTTTATTTTACTACAAATTTTAAAAATTTAGAATTTTAAATAAAATATTATTTATTATATTTTGTTTACTATATTGAAAGTTTAATAGAAAAATTGAGTTCTGAAAAATTTTTTAACAAAATTTGATTTTTATTGCATTTTAGTTTTTGATATTTCAAACCTTTTCTATTCACTATATTCTTTAATGTATTAGTAAAAAATAATCTCGTTCATATATTCTTGTAATTTTCTTTACTTATTTAATAATAAGTACCTTTAATAATTTTATTAGATTAAATGTAATAAGATTTTAATTTTAATCAAAAAATTCTCAGATTCTAATTTTTCTAACAAACTTCTGATATAAATAATTCTTATCTATAATATTAATTAGTAATATTTTTTAATTATATATTTAATTAATATAAATAATAAAAGGTTTAAATTAAAATTAATAAATATTAATTTTAATAAAGATAAATTAATAAAAATTTATATTTATATATTATAAAACAATTTAGTCATTTAGTTATTTGCTAAAAGTTTAGTTAAAGGTTTAAATTTTAGTTAAGAGTTTAGATTTTAATCAAGGATTTAGTCAAACATAAAATTTGACGAAAGTTTAGTCATAATAAAAATAATTTAGACAGGCATTACTAGTTAATATTATATAATGTTTTATGTAATAAATTTTTTGATTAAAATCAGTATTAAAATTTTTATATTAATTAAGATTTATATTATTTAAAATATTTTAATTTTAGAATTTATTATTTAGAATTATCTAGTTTTAAAATTATTGAGTTTTAGTATTTTAAATAAGAAAATTTCTAAGTTTATACAGGATGTATATATACAGATCATATGACATATATATTTGTCACTAGTATCATACTCCTTTACTTTTAGTTTTTACTATTTATTCTAGAAACTTAGAATTTTTTTGGTGAAAAATTATTATTTGTCATAAATTATCTATTACATAGTTATTACACAGATATTTTCTTAATTTCTTCATGTTAGTAAAAGTAATATTAATATCAGTGTATCATAGGATCTATATACAATACATCTGTATACAAATAGAAATTGCCTTTAAATAATATTTAAATAAGTTTATAAATTAATTAATATTTATATCTAAATTAATTTAATTAATTTTATATAACTTTATAATTAAATTTAAATTATTATTATATATTTTTATAAATTTATTAATTTAAAATAAATAAATTGCAATATATTATTGACGTTAAAAATTTGTCTTAGAAAAATGATTTACAAAATTATTGGATTTAATTTTATGTAAATCATATTAAGGAAGATCTTGATCAATGTATTGCATTGAAAAATCAAACTAATTCATTTAATTTGAAGGATTTACAAAATTCATCTGATTCGCTTATTTCTTCTGTTTCTTCTGTATTTTTTATATAGTCTG